AAAAAAACTCCTTACAGAAAAAGTCATAAGTGATTCAACATTGCAAGTTGTCTTTGTGAGGTAAATTAAAAAATTGTGACAGGAAAGTAGCAGCTGGTTTTCAGGCAACCATGACAGTTATAGACACAACACAGAAAGTTCACTGCATTCTGAACTCCATCAATGTACCTTTAGAAACATAAGTGATGGCATGACAAATTAAAGGAAGCTTTCAGTATGGATGTCAAGACTTGTTGTCACATAATTCTTACAGGATTTTTGAAGATGCACCAAGAACATTCTTAGGTATTGGACAAAAAATAACAAGATGTGCTAAAACAAGCATTGTGTGTACATTGTGATTGTTCAGTTGTCAGAACTAAGTGTTGGGAGGACTTCCAACATGTGTGGGGGACAAACAAATCATTAAATGAGTGAGTCAAGCTCTCTCACAGGCATGTACACTGTACACAAGCTTCACAAGGATGCCATATTGACAAGAAAACAATAGAGGATTGTATATTGATGGAGTTCGGACAAGCTATTGTAGTATCAACATTCAAAGAAAAAATTCAGGAATGATTCTTTAACAGGTTCTTCAATTGTTATTCTACAAAAAACAGTATTTAAGGAACACAAAGTCTGCAGCAGCTGTCACAATTTATTGGTTCAGTCATGTGTGTGGCACTGACCAAACTGGAACATGTGGTGTGTCTGCTGGAGTCAACATGTGTGTCAGTGTCCATGGAACAACATGAACAATGAATTCAAAAATATATATATATGATTCAATGAGGGAACAATTATAGTCAATAAAAAGTACTGAATCTTTTATTTGTTTGAACTTTGAAAACAATCATCATTACACAGACAGTACGATTAGTAACAGGATTACTGCTTCTCATCAGCAATAGTTCAGTTTCTGAGGCCATGTGTGGAAAAAGTTCTGAAAATTGAATTTTTTTTTAATGAAGTATGGTAATAGTATACAGAAAGGGCCTTTGTAATCCAGAGGTTTTTGTATAAAACACTTAACATGATTTGGCAACTGATATGTTAAATGTCATCAACAGGACAGAGAATTTCAAGCAAAGATGTACAATGACAGTTACATAAAATGGGGCATTCATTTTGGTAATTCATATTATTATAGCTGGTTTGGAACACGGTGAGGAAAGTACATTTGAAAGTACATGGTATAAAAGAAGGGAGATAAGCAACAGCCAACAAGGGAGGTAATCTTGTCACACTTGAATTCTCTTTACCTTGACTCTTCATTATTTACACCATTGGGTTCAAATTCAGGTTATAGATGTGAAAATTATGTAAAAAGACAAGGCACTTCTGCAAAATAAATGCATATTCAAAATATGTGTGCAGTATCTTAAACTTTCTGCCTGTATTAACACCATGCAGATGTATTGAGAGCTGTTAAAATTTTGTTCTTCTAGCTTCAGGGCAGAGACATCCATCATACTTGTTGGGCTTTTACATAATATTTGTGTGACTGTACACTAGGGACTTTCAATTACTGTGAAATAAGGGTAAAAAGCATTATATGAAAATAAAATTAATCAATATAATGTTTTGGGAAATAGCCTTTACTCCCTACCCAATGTTTAAGTGGGTGTCTTGTACAGTTTCTCCTAGAATAGTGAAATGCCATAAGCATATGACCTTTTTTTCTTATGTGCTTTAAACTGTATTCATCATTTGAATCAGGTGGATAACTCCCACATTTATTTACTAATCTAACAAAAAATGACTGGATCTTAATTTTTGTCTTTGATTATATAAATTCTCAGGAAAACTTCTTCATTAATTCTTTACTGATGCTTACAGAAAGCTTCCTAAATAGTGTTTACAGCAAACGTTTGTCAGAAGGAGATCTACAAATTATCTTTTTAAGGCTTAAAATTTTGATCTGTTAGTTGACAACTTATATAATGCTTATAGGCAGAGATAATGTAAACAACAGAACGTACAGTTTCATCATCAAGTTACTTACCCTCAAATAACTCTCTGGAGTTTTACTACAATTTTACATTTACACTTTATGGTTGCCTTTACTTCAGAAACTTCAGAATGTGCCTTGTGTAATTTATGTATACATTTGTATTTTCTATTTTATTAAGAAGAAGAAGAAGTGCACATACTGCCTGAGAAATAACTTTCATGTAAAGAAATTTGTTAATTCACCATCTAAATTCACTATTTGTCTTGAATGGAGTACTGCATACATTGAGTGCAAACAGATGAGAAGACCTAATTCTATATTTAAATGTTACGTTTCATTAAATGGATAATGCACATTTAAGTGTGCATGGTTAACAGTGTCATTCCTAGGGCCTGTTTTCCTTCGTTATAGAAATCACAGGAACTTGCAGCAGCTGCGAGTGCATTACATACAGGAAACGCATGCAGTAGTGCATCAACATCTGAAAATAAACAAACGAAACACAAATTGCAACAGAACTAGTCTTGGAAAAACCTTTTTTGTACATTTATAATCACAGCTGTGCTAATGATGTCTAGATCTGTTAGAGCAATGATTTTGCAGTTTCAGTAGAAATAAATCCCCGGAGGAAGAAAAAGAAAAACAATTATATGCCATAATTAATGATTATCCTGACTAATTGCCATAGATTTTCCTGGTGTTCCTTTAATTGACCAAATGCACATTTAACAGTGCATGCATAGAAGCATGTAATCTCTGGTAACTGGTTTCTGCAGCCACAGAGATTTTCATCTAAATGAATTTTAAATGGCTTTCAGTTTGTGCAAGTCTAGAACATGAAATCCATTAGAAGTCTGAATGCCTATCTGATAATACTTGCAGTGAACAGTAAAACCTACTTAACACTTCCAGGTATTACTGAATGTGCTCAATATGTCTGGAGTAAGTTTCAGAACTAATATAAATGTCTGAATTTATAAAGTTTTTCCTCAGATAGCAGCATGATATTGGTAACAACAAATTGTGAAAAAGTCTTAACATCTTGACGCTTTTAAAGAATTTTAATTACTGAAAAAGAAATTGGATGTAATCAAATTTCACTTTCGAAAAAAAAAAAAATTTATATATATATATATTTAAAAGAATTGTGAACAATGAATTGGTTTGTTTGTTTGATTTTAACATGAACGATTATAAAAGTGCTACTGTTTTTTGCCTGTGTGTATAAAGGCTGGAACATGGTAGTCACAGGTGTACACTGGGGCACTGCCCTATACATCATCATATGAGGGGGAGGGGCTCTACAAACTTTCATCTGCCACATCTGAGGTAGTAACTTGGCTAGTTAATTGGACATCTTGACCTGGATAGGTGTTTTAGATGTAGTTGAAGATTTTATCACCCTGACTTGAGTATCAGTTTGATGTTTTGCAATTTCTGTACTAAACTGTTCTATATACAGATTTAATAGCTAGAATCATTGACTTTTGGATGATAAATAGTAATGGACTGATATCGATAAGACCTCATCGCAAATATTACAATTTATAAAGTTCTAACCTCTCTGTTGGTGTCCTTTCTTGAAAAAGTGCATTAAATCTCACTTTTGAAATAATGACATACTTCACTTTCTGCATACTAAAAATTCTACAGTCCAGTTTCTCTCACATACTGTTTTACCTGAAGATAAGCCGTGCCTGGTAAAAGCCTTATCAATAGAAGTTAGGTTTTGAAAATTGCTGTATCACTATTATAGTTTTCTCATAATAAGACTACTTGTTGGCCCAGGAGTCTTATTGCAGGATGGATAAGTAAATTTACTTTCATATTATGTGGCTGAATAATAGAAACAAATCCTTTTTGATATTTATGTAGAGGGATAAGGTCTGAAACTGATACCGTTGCCCAAGAGGTTGGACATGTACTATAAAGATAATGATGTAGATTATTTAACACAGATTTATGTCCGAGTTGGCACATACTGTATGATTGATGATATAAGTGAGACATGAGGTGGATTAATCTCGACTGGATGGTGTGGTTTTATGTTGAGGTACACCATCAATCACTTACAATCAGTATAAAAGCTATTCTTGAACCAAGGATATAGTCCTATTTTTATCAGTAAGGTTTTCCCCCAGAAAATTTCTAGGGGGCCAAATCCTTCAGTAGCCTTAAGGCTGTAACCTGGTGCCAAATTTGAACAAATTATTGTAGTATGGAAGGCCATTGCCATGACCAAGTGTAGTGATGTGTTTTTATTGAAGAATCACAGTAAGATATTCAAATATAGACCATTCATCTCTATTTGACTGCCTGTTTTAAAGTTGTATTTATTTTTGTTCAATATTTCAACATTTGCTGTCCATGATTGATGTGTTTGAAATTTTTCGGCTACCTGTTACATTGTCTTTGGCAAACAGTTGATGTTAAGAACTTTGAAATTGATCAATTTCTGCTGTTAATAGACATTTTGTATATGTTTATCAATTTTTTTTATTCATTCACATCAATTTCCAGATGCGAAAATTGCAGTTGCAAAATACGTCATCAGAGACTGATTTATGTTTCTACATGTAGTATCAATAACAATAGAATTGAATAAAAGCCAACTGGCTGCGACATCAGTGACCTTACAAACTCAGTATCACAGATACAGATAATTGTTGATCAGCTTTTGTTTCATTGTTTATGGTGTTTAAACCATTGAAACCATCATCCCATGTGTTTTGCTCTAAACTATTAGAGGATAAAGAATAACTGGTATTATATCTGTAGGTTATCATACAAAATCATGTAATTTAGGTGTCACAAAAATAATCAGTTATACGGAATAAACTTTGATGATTCACATTGAAATTCAAAGGCAAAATTGTTATTTGTTTGAAAACTGCATCAGCTTCCAAATTTGTAATAACAGTTTGCTGCAGGTGTACAAACATCATCTTTGATGGGAATATACTAGTCTGTCTTGTTATATTCAATACATCACATATGCCTCATCATTATCTGTGTTGTTTTTGTGTGTAGAGTTTACATTAGGACTTTGGTTTGTGTATTACAGAGTGTCTGGTGGTGAGCTGTTTGACTACATCTCAGAGAAGGACCACCTCAGTGAAGAGGAAGCCTCAACCTTTATTAAACAAATCCTTGAGGCTGTCCAGCATCTCCATTCTAAGAGTATAGCTCACTTAGACCTAAAGGTAAACTATGTTTAAAACCACTTACAATCCAAAAGCTTAGCTCAATTACATAATAAAGGTTGATGGTAGTTCACCTAGACCTGAGTATTATGAGATTTCCATTTAAACTGCATCTCACCTAGACCAAAGCTTACAATACAGTGACACTTCTATACAACAATAGCTCACCTATACCAGAGTTTACAATACAGTGACACTTCTATACAACAATAGCTCACCTATACCAGAGTTTACAATACAGTGACACTTCTATACAACAATAGCTCACCTATACCAGAGTTTACAATACAGTGACACTTCTATACAACAATAGCTCACCTATACCAAAGCTTACAATACAGTGACACTTCTATACAGCAATAGCTCACCTAGACCAAAGCTTACAATACAGTGACACTTCTATACAGCAATAGCTCACCTATACCAAAGCTTACAATATAGTGACACTTCTATACAACAATAGCTCACCTATACCAAAGCTTACAATACAGTGACACTTCTATACAACAATAGCTCACCTATACCAAAGCTTACAATACAGTGACACTTCTATACAACAATAGCTCACCTATACCAAAGCTTACAATACAATGACACTTCTATACAACAATAGCTCACCTATACCAAAGCTTACAATACAGTGACACTTCTATACAACAATAGCTCACCTATACCAAAGCTTACAATACAGTGACACTTCTATACAACAATAGCTCACCTATACCAAAGCTTACAATACAGTGACACTTCTATACAACAATAGCTCACCTATACCAAAGCTTACAATACAGTGACACTTCTATACAGCAATAGCTCACCTATACCAAGCTTACAATACAGTGACACTTCTATACACACAATACATCACCTATACAACAATAGCACTTCTATACAACAATAGCTCACCTATACCAGAGCTTACAATACAGTGACACTTCTATTCAAACAATAGCTCACCTATACCAAAGCTTACAATACAGTGACACTTCTATACAACACTAGCTCACCTATACCAAAGCTTACAATACAGTGACACTTCTATACAACACTAGCTCACCTATACCAAAGCTTACAATACAGTGACACTTCCATTCAAACAATAGCTCACCTATACCAAAACTTACAATACAGTGACACTTCTATACAACAATAGCTCACCTAGACCAAAGCTTACAATACAGTGACACTTCTATACAACACTAGCTCACCTATACCAAAGCTTACAATACAGTGACACTTCTATACAACAATAGCTCACCTATACCAAAGCTTACAATACAGTGACACTTCTATACAACAATAGCTCACCTAGACCAAAGCTACAGTGACACTTCTATACAGCAATAGCTCACCTATACCAAAGCTTACAATACAGTGACACTTCTATACAACAATAGCTCACCTATACCAAAGCTTACAATACAGTTACAATACAGTGACACATTCAAACAATAGCTCACCTATACCAAAGCTTACAATACTGACACTTCTATACAACACTAGCTCACCTATACCAAAGCTTACAATACAGTGACACTTCTATACAGCAATAGCTCACCTATACCAAAGCTTACAATACAGTGACACTTCTATACAACAATAGCTCACCTATACCAAAGCTTACAATACAGTGACACTTCTATACAACAATAGCTCACCTATACCAAAACTTACAATACAATGACACTTCTATACAACACTAGCTCACCTATACCAAAGCTTACAATACAGTGACACTTCTATACAACACTAGCTCACCTATACCAAAGCTTACAATACAGTGACACTTCTATACAACAATAGCTCACCTATACCAAAGCTTACAATACAATGACACTTCTATACAACAATAGCTCACCTATACCAAAGCTACAATATACACTGACACTCTATACAACAATAGCACTTCTATACAACAATAGCTCACCTATACCAAAGCTTACAATACAGTGACACTTCTATACAACAATAGCTCACCTATACCAAAGCTTACAATACAGTGACACTTCTATACAACAATAGCTCACCTATACCAGAGCTTACAATACAGTGACACTTCTATACAACAATAGCTCACCTATACCAAAACTTACAATACAATGACACTTCTATACAACAATAGCTCACCTATACCAAAACTTACAATACAATGACACTTCTATACAACACTAGCTCACCTATACCAAAGCTTACAATACAGTGACACTTCTATACAACAATAGCTCACCTATACCAAAACTTACAATACAGTGACACTTCTATACAACAATAGCTCACCTATACCAGAGCTTACAATACAGTGACACTTCTATACAACAATAGCTCACCTATACCAAAGCTTACAATACAGTGACACTTCTATACAACAATAGCTCACCTATACCAAAGCTTACAATACAGTGACACTTCTATACAACAATAGCTCACCTAGACCAAAGCTTACAATACAATGACACTTCTATACAGCAATAGCTCACCTATACCAAAGCTTACAATACAGTGACACTTCTATACAACAATAGCTCACCTATACCAAAGCTTACAATACAGTGACACTTCCATTCAAACAATAGCTCACCTATACCAAAGCTTACAATACAGTGACACTTCCATTCAAACAATAGCTCACCTATACCAAAGCTTACAATACAGTGACACTTCTATACAACACTAGCTCACCTATACCAAAGCTTACAATACAGTGACACTTCTATACAGCAATAGCTCACCTATACCAAAGCTTACAATACAGTGACACTTCTATACAACAATAGCTCACCTATACCAAAGCTTACAATACAGTGACACTTCCATTCAAACAATAGCTCACCTATACCAGAGCTTACAATACAGTGACACTTCTATTCAACAATAGCTCACCTATGCCAAAGCTTACAATACAATGACACTTCTATACAACAATAGCTCACCTATGCCAAAGCTTACAATACAGTGACACTTCTATACAACAATAGCTCACCTATACCAGAGCTTACAATACAGTGACACTTCTATACAACAATAGCTCACCTATACCAGAGCTTACAATACAATGACACTTCTATACAACAATAGCTCACCTAGACCAAAGCTTACAATACAATGACACTTTCATTCAAACAATAGCTCACCTATACCAAAGCTTACAATACAGTGACACTTCTATACAGCAATAGCTCACATATACCAGAGCTTACAATACAGTGACACTTCTATACAGCAATAGCTCACCTATACCAGAGCTTACAATACAGTGACACTTCTATACAGCAATAGCTCACCTATACCAGAGCTTACAATACAGTGACACTTCTATACAACACTAGCTCACCTAGACCAAAGCTTACAATACAATGACACTTCTATACAACAATAGCTCACCTAGACCAAAGCTTACAATACAGTGACACTTCTATTCAACAATAGCTCACCTATGCCAAAGCTTACAATACAATGACACTTCTATACAACAATAGCTCACCTATGCCAAAGCTTACAATACAGTGACACTTCTATACAACAATAGCTCACCTATACCAGAGCTTACAATACAGTGACACTTCTATACAACAATAGCTCACCTATACCAGAGCTTACAATACAATGACACTTCTATACAACAATAGCTCACCTAGACCAAAGCTTACAATACAATGACACTTTCATTCAAACAATAGCTCACCTATACCAAAGCTTACAATACAGTGACACTTCTATACAGCAATAGCTCACCTATACCAGAGCTTACAATACAGTGACACTTCTATACAGCAATAGCTCACCTATACCAGAGCTTACAATACAGTGACACTTCTATACAGCAATAGCTCACCTATACCAGAGCTTACAATACAGTGACACTTCTATACAACACTAGCTCACCTAGACCAAAGCTTACAATACAATGACACTTCTATACAACAATAGCTCACCTAGACCAAAGCTTACAATACAGTGACACTTCTATACAACACTAGCTCACCTAGACCAAAGCTTACAATACAATGACACTTCTATACAACAATAGCTCACCTAGACCAAAGCTTACAATATAGTGACACTTCTATACAACAATAGCTCACCTATACCAAAGCTTACAATACAGTGACACTTCTATACAACAATAGCTCACCTAGACCAAAGCTTACAATACAGTGACACTTCTATACAACACTAGCTCACCTATACCAAAGCTTACAATACAGTGACACTTCTATACAACAATAGCTCACCTAGACCAAAGCTTACAATACAGTGACACTTCTATACAACACTAGCTCACCTAGACCAAAGCTTACAATATAGTGACACTTCTATACAACAATAGCTCACCTAGACCAAAGCTTACAATATAGTGACACTTCTATACAACAATAGCTCACCTAGACCTAGAAAGAAAAAAACAAAAAACAGGAAAATATTTTGTTAGTTTTACATTTGCTTTCACCAGTAAATATTTGATTGATGCAAGGGGACATGGTATATTCACTCCTGTATTGGTGTCTCTCTTTCATACGACGATTATACAAAGTGTAAATACAGCTCATCAAGACTTACTGAAAAAATTACCTTTGCAGTTGTAGTTATCATAAAGAATATACAGTCAGCTCAGTAATACTGAATCACCCTTATAAAAAGCCAAGTCAACCAACACACAATCCCCTGCAGAAAATGGAGATAGTCTCATTACAATGCGAAGATAAAGTATTTGTTAGCATTCTGAATTTTATATTATTGTAATCAGACTTATTACCGTGTATAAGCTTATTGCAGGATAAGTTTGGTAACCTATCTCTGCTTTGATGTAGATCAGCCCTTCTGTGTGACATCACTGTTTCAGAGCCCAGTAATCCAATTTGTTTTATATAACCCACTATCTTTATCTGCTTTTGGAGTTTACATTTCACCCTGGCGTTATGGAGTGTGTTTGCGAATCACAAGATGAAGTTTAGGGATAAGAGTGGGAAATTTTATAAACATAGAAAAAATTTTTAAGATTGGTATATTAAATATGGTAAGAAAAACAAGATGGAAGCTTAGCGTAGGTATAAACACCTTATTATAGACTTTGTGCCACTTATAGAAAAATCAGGATTATCAACGATTATGATGAACGTAAACAGTCATAATGTGTGAAAAAAAAAGAAAAATACAAAAATTCTTTTCATAACATATTTCTGTCAAATTCTGAATAAATAGAACTTGTGGGTAGAAATGTCTGTATTGCTATGAAGTCACAAAATAACAAAGCGCTGAACACAAGTAGATGAGGGGTTCGAGGTCTTCACAGTGTAGCTACCTGGTAATCTTGGAACTAGACTTAAACTACAATGTCATTTCACACCATTTTTACCAGTATAATTGATTGTAATTTCAAAAAAAGAATAGTGAGGTATGCTTTTTATTTGTATATTTTAATGTATTTATGTCAAAGTCTTCATAGAAATGGATGATTATTCCACAGAAGTTGAAAAATAAGGAAAATACATGGGCTTTGAAGGCAGTTTTGCCACTAAAAAGGGACGAGAGTTGACAACAAAATTAATTATTAAAAAGGAGATAGTAAGGCATTGACATCAGTGTTTTTTTGTTTTTATGATGGTGTAAGTATATCTAAGATTGAAATAAGACATTTAATAAAGTTTTATCCGATGAAATCTGAAGGGATGAACAACCTTAACTACAGTTACTCCTTCTATAATGCATCACATATAAGGGGAGATAACTACACATCATCTGAAAAGTGATCTGTGGCAATAATAGTTATCACATGAAGATACAAAAACTGACTGATGGGAGAAACTCATAAATATGTCATATACACCTTGTCAATGCCATTCCTAAGTCATTATCTCCCCAGCACTTGGCCGCTATTCTTTATAACCATATAAAATCAAGAATAATTGGGTAAAGGATTGTACAGACAAGGCCCCAGCTTTACACCAATTAGGCCGTATGTATTAGGTAAACGAAAGTACCCACCAGGAGGATCATTTTCTATCATGTTGACTGCCAGATCAACTATCTTAAATCAGGAGATATTCCACACCCTTTGGTATATTATCACGATAAACAGAAATGGAAAGCAGAAACAAAATTTTCCCAAAGAGTTTTCTACAATATGAAAATGATAGAAACACGAAGTCACAGTTCTTTATGTTTTTAATAAATGATTGAATGTTAAGTGCATTATGTTATAAATAAGTAAATAAATACTCGTATTGTACAAGTGCTTGACAACATTTTTTTCCAATCAAACAGAGTCTTAAAGTTCACACAGATAAAAATGTACATTTGATTTAAAGTTACTGAGTAAGTAATATAGAATGTTTTTAAATGGAAGATCCTCATTATCTGAAATGTTTAGACTATGTTGATGTTCTAGTAGGTAGGAACTATATATGCTGTTATTTTTATATCAACAGCCAGAGAACATTATGCTGCTGAACAAGAACAGCTGCCGGATCAAGCTGATTGACTTTGGTCTGTCACAGGTGATCACTCCAAAATCTGACATAAGAGCTATGATGGGCACTGCTGAGTTTATAGGTACACTTCGTTTCTCTAAAGCATATTCTCAGGTTCTAGTAATCATTCAGCTGTAAAAGCCATAGACACATACATAGAATTTAGTGTGTCATTTTATGATATGATTTGATCAATAATTTCCTATTTCTCAATATTGTTTTGTTTTTTTAATCTCTTTACATTGTTTTTTTTTTCAGCACCTGAAGTTGTTAGCTACGATCCCCTTTCATTGGCTACAGATATGTGGAGCATAGGGGTGATAACCTATATATTGTAAGTTGTAGCAATCATCCTTATTTTTTACACTAAGGGGAGACAATACACAGTGTAGGGATGATAGCTTACGTATCGTAAGTTGTAGTAATCACCTACCTGTTTTATACTAAAGGGAGACAATACATGTTGAAGGGATGATAGCCTATATATTGTAAGTTGTAGGCATCACCTACCATTTTTACACTAAGGGGAGACAACACACAGTGTAGGGGTGATAACTTATATATTGTAAGTTGTAGCAATTGCCTCAGTTTTTTACATTAAGGGGAGACAACACACAGTGTAGGGGTGATAACCTATATATTGTAAGTTGTAGTCATCACCTCCCTTTTTTACACTAAGGGGAGACAACACACAGTGTAGGGGTGATAACCTATATATTGTAAGTTGTAGTCATCACCTACCTTTCTTACACTAAGGGGAGACAACACACATGTTAGCAAAAATATCTCGTCTGTAATATTAATACATCATATGATACGCTGATAAACAAGGATGGTTATTTTATTAATTTATCAATTTTCATAGAATATCCATTTTGTTAAATTTCTGTGAAAGCGAGAACGGGTCACCTTAATGTTTACATATGTTACATTTTTGTGAAAGTGAAAATATGGTCATATGCATGTTTACATTCGTTACATTTCTGTGAAAGTGATAATAGGGTCATATGCATGTTTACATTCGTTACATTTCTGTGAAAGTGATAATAGGGTCATATGCATGTTTACATTCGTTACATTTCTGTGAAAGTGATAATAGGGTCATATGCATGTTTACATTCGTTACATTTCTGTGAAAGTGAGAATAGGGTCACATGTATGTTTACATATGTTACATTTCCTTGAAAGTGAGAAAAGAGTCACATATATGTTTACACAAATATTTTCATGCTGAATAGGCCTTGAAATGAAATGGTAATTGTGTTTACTGTTCAGTTCTGGAATGATACAAAATATGTTGTATTAATTGGAAGTTTTCAAAAGTGTTACAAAAGATTTTACAAATTTTTTGTATTTTAATTTGTCAGTTTAGATGTAAATATTTTGATGCTTACAGATTGAGTGGTGCATCTCCCTTCCTGGGAGATGAGCAACAGGAAACCTATGAAAATATAACCTCTGTAACCTACGCATTTGACGAGGAATACTTCAACGGGACCAGTGAACTTGCCAAAGATTTTATTAGGAAAACTTTCATTAAAGAATCAAGGTATACATTAGAGTTCCTTCCCTTTATCTGTGAAAACTCTTATACCGTAAAATGTTATGTTATGTTTTATTTAACTAAAATTCATGGAAAGATGTTCCAAAATTTTGAATTTCAATATTTATAGTTATATATTTGCATAGTTTTTGTCTTTCTACAATCTATTGATTTCTTTGCAGAAAACGAGCAACAGTCACAACATGCATGCAACATCCGTGGATACAGGTAAAAAATGAATCACAAAGCATGTTACATATTGTTATATATACATATACAAGCTTTAGGGTGGATAAATGTATTCCATATATTGGCATGTAGTTATTGATTCCTCAGGTGAACCTTTAAAGGGCATGATAGAACCCATTCTCAAGTAAATGGCCAGTGTTTATTTTGTTATGCTAATCAGTATGCAAATCAGAATGACAGAAGTTACTTTTAGTACTAATGAATATGTTAATGTTTCTGTTCACCATAGTAACAGCATGATGAATCAATTGGAGACTGATGCTACATTAGCACAGTGAACAGTCGCCAAAAATTAATAAGACAATCGACTAATTTCCTTGAATATTTCTAATGGCTTTTATTATGATAAAAAAAATTATGGCTTTGAAAAATGGCTTAGCTTCAAACTATATAACTATTACCTTAAAAAGGACAAAAGAATGGCATTGCTGTATATATGGAGATGTCTCCATGGCTTCCTGCTGTTTGACTTTTAGATGAAATTGTATGAATATGAGTCAATATTATGGCTGCTTCATAGCCTCATCAAATACAGTGTTATATCAAGATGTGCGGCACCATGTTCTATACCATACACTGAAGAGTTTTAATGTGAATTTCATAGGGGATGGGGGCATGCAGTGATAACCAATTCTATCATGTTACATTTAGTGACACCATCACCTTGACAACTTCATTATTTCAAAAACACCTGAACACTTTAAAATGATGTGTTATTTAGTGAGATTCAGAAATCATTAGAACAGGAACTGGAAGACTCCGCTGTAATAATGCATTAATAGCAAAACTTTGTTACCACTTCATTGGTCATCAGCTGAAAAGAAGTGTTAGGGACACACCCTTTCTGCAAGTTTACCCTTGAGGTGTTGGAATAAATGTAAATTCCTTGAATTAATGTTGTGTATGTGTTGATAGTGTAATGCATGCTGGAAGCTAGGGCTGAGAAAGTGATTTTCTACTTTAAATCTGTTTCCCTGGGAATCGTATAATCATAACGGTGTTATTTATGGATTAGGTACTGTATATCCTTCTGTCTTGAGAATCTCAAATGGCATTTGGTCTCGTTATGTTGTTGACCTTCCTTGTAGAGATGCCAGTGTTATATTGTACCATTATCTCCCTTGTTCTTAATGCATTGTGATTTGTACTTCAGTAAAGCCTGGTTATGACATGAATCTAGATATTGAGAATGGATGGAAAGAGTATATAAACACAATAATAATATTTACTAATTCCATTACTAGTAATGAAAGACGAATCCAAGAGATGAATTTTGATTGTCATGTATATAACAAATGGTTATATAGAAAATTTGCACGATTGGATTATTTTGAATTTTTTTTTTTTTTTCGTTTTTCTTTTTCTAATTTCATTCTTTTTCATGAACTGAAATAGTGACAATCATGAATATAGCATACAAGTCTTAGGTTTATTTACCAAATTTTCAATATGTTTGTGTTATAGCCAGGTTGTTTGTATGACTAATATATCCCTGTTTCCTACTGTTTGGCCAGCATGCTATTAGGTTATTGATACTAAAAATCTCTTATCCACAGCCTCAGGAGAAAAAGCAGTCACTCACCAGAAAAACTTCTGTCATCAACATTGAGCAATTCAAGAAACTCATGGCCAGAAAACGCTGGAAGGTAACAAATTGTTGCTATGTTGTGAAGGTCTGAGGAAGATAACAAATTGATACTGTGGTGTGGAAGTCTGAGGAAGGAAACAAAATGTTACTATGTTATAGAGGTCATGGTGAAGTGTACAATGTATAATAGTGTTTTAGAGATGTAGAAGAGTGTTATACTGTAAAGAAGGTTGTGATAAAGTTAATGATGTATATTAATCTTAGAGAAGTCTGAGGAAAGTAAAAAAAGTTTTACAATGTTTGAAATGTGTCATAAAAGTCTGAGGAAGGTAACAAAGTGTTACAATGTTAGAAATGTGTCATAAAAGTCTGAGGAAGGTAACAAAGTGTTACAATGTTAGAAATGTGTCATAAAAGTCTGAGGAAGGTAACAAAGTGTTACAATGTTAGAAATGTGTCATAAAAGTCTGAGTAAGGTAACAAAGTGTTACAATGTTAGAAATGTGTCATAAAAGTCTGAGGAAGGTAACAAAGTGTTACAATGTTAGAAATGTGTCATAAAAGTCTGAGGAAGGTAACAAAGTGTTACAATGTTAGAAATATGTCATAAAAGTCTGAGGAAGGTCACTGGTGTTACAATGTTAGAAATGTGTCATAAAAGTCTGAGTAAGGTAACAAAGTGTTACAATGTTAGAAATGTGTCATAAAAGTCTGAGGAAGGTCACTAGTGTTACAATGTTAGAAATGTGTCATAAAAGTCTGAGGAAGGTAACAAAGTGTTACAATGTTAGAAATGTGTCATAAAAGTCTGAGGAAGGTAACAAAGTGTTACAATGTTAGAAATATGTCATAAAAGTCTGAGGAAGGTCACTAGTGTTACAATGTTAGAAATGTGTCATAAAAGTCTGAGTAAGGTAACAAAGTGTTACAATGTTAGAAATGTGTCATAAAAGTCTGAGGAAGGTCACTAGTGTTACAATGTTAGAAATGTGTCATAAAAGTCTGAGGAAGGTCACTAGTGTTACAATGTTAGAAATGTGTCATAAAAGTCTGAGGAAGGTAACAAAGTGTTACAATGTTAGAAATATGTCATAAAAGTCTGAGGAAGGTAACAAAGTGTTACAATGTTAGAAATGTGTCATAAAAGTCTGAGGAAGGTCACTAGTGTTACAATGTTAGAAATGTGTCATAAAAGTCTGAGGAAGGTAACAAAGTGTTACAATGTTAGAAATGTGTCATAAAAGTCTGAGGAAGGTAACAAAGTGTTACAATGTTAGAAATGTGTCAGGAAGGTAACAAAGTGTTACAATGTTAGAAATGTGTCATAAAAGTCTGAGGAAGGTAACAAAGTGTTACAATGTTAGAAATGTGTCATAAAAGTCTGAGGAAGGTCACTAGTGTTACAATGTTAGAAATGTGTCATAAAAGTCTGAGGAAGGTAACAAAGTGTTACAATGTTAGAAATGTGTAATAAAAGTCTGAGGAAGGTAACAAAGTGTTACAATGTTAGAAATATGTCATAAAAGTCTGAGGAAGGTAACAAAGTGTTACAATGTTAGAAATGTGTCATAAAAGTCTGAGGAAGGTAACAAAATGTAAGATGTTTGAAATGTGTCATAAAAGTCTGAGGAAGGTAACAAAGTGTTACAATGTTAGAAATGTGTCATAAAAGTCTGAGGAAGGTAACAAAGTGTTACAATGTTAGAAATGTGTCATAAAAGTCTGAGGAAGGTAACAAAGTGTTACAATGTTAGAAATGTGTCATAAAAGTCTGAGGAAGGTAACAAAGTGTTACAATGTTAGAAATGTGTCATAAAAGTCTGAGGAAGGTCACTAAATGTGTTAAAAGTCATAGTTAGAAATGTGTCATAAAAGTCTGAGGAAGGTAACAAAGTGTTACAATGTTAGAAATGTGTCATAAAAGTCTGAGGAAGGTAACAAAGTGTTATATAGTTAGAAATGTGTCATAAAAGTCTGAGGAAGGTAACAAAGTGTTACAATGTTAGAAATGTGTCATAAAAGTCTGAGGAAGGTAACAAAGTGTTACAATGTTAGAAATGTGTCATAAAAGTCTGAGGAAGGTAACAAAGTGTTACAATGTTAGAAATGTGTCATAAAAGTCTGAGGAAGGTCACTAGTGTTACATAGTTAGAAATGTGTCATAAAAGTCTGAGGAAGGTAACAAAGTGTTACAATGTTAGAAATGTGTCATAAAAGTCTGAGGAAGGTAACAAAGTGTTACAATGTTAGAAATGTGTCATAAAAGTCTGAGGAAGGTAACAAAGTGTTACAATGTTAGAAATGTGTCATAAAAGTCTTAGGAAAGTAACAAAGTGTTACGATGTTTGAAATGTGTCATAAAAGTCTGAGAAAAGTAACAAAGTGTTACAATGTTAGAAATGTGTCATAAAAGTCTGAGAAAAGTAACAAAGTGTTACGATGTTTGAAATGTGTCATAAAAGTCTGAGGAAGGTAACAAAGTGTTACAATGTTAGAAATGTGTCATAAAAGTCTGAGGAAGGTAACAAAGTGTTACAATGTTAGAAATGTGTCATAAAAGTCTTAGGAAAGTAACAAAGTGTTACGATGTTTGAAATGTGTCATAAAAGTCTGAGAAAAGTAACAAAGTGTTACAATGTTAGAAATGTGTCATAAAAGTCTGAGGAAGGTAACAAAGTGTTACAATGTTAGAAATGTGTCATAAAAGTCTGAGGAAGGTAACAAAGTGTTACAATGTTAGAAATGTGTGTTACATAAAAGTCTGAGGAAGGTAACAAAGTGTTACAATGTTAGAAATGTGTCATAAAAGTCTGAGGAAGGTAACAAAGTGTTAAAATGTTAGAAATGTGTCATAAAAGTCTGAGGAAGGTAACAAAGTGTTACAATGTTAGAAATGTGTCATAAAAGTCTGAGGAAGGTAACAAAGTGTTACAATGTTAGAAATGTGTCATAAAAGTCTGAGGAAGGTAACAAAGTGTTACAATGTTAGAAATGTGTCATAAAAGTCTGAGGAAGGTAACAAAGTGTTACAATGTTAGAAATGTGTCATAAAAGTCTGAGGAAGTGTCATAAATGTGTCATAAAAGTCAGGAAGTGTGTTACAATGTTTGAAATGTGTCATAAAAGTCTGAGGAAGGTAACAAAGTGTTACGATGTTAGAAATGTGAAATGTGTCATAAAAGTCTGAGGAAGGTAACAAAGTGTTACAATGTTTGAAATGTGTCATAAAAGTCTGAGGAAGGTAACAAAGTGTTACAATGTTAGAAATGTGTCATAAAAGTCTGAGGAAGGTAACAAAGTGTTACGATGTTAGAAATGTGTCATAAAAGTCTGAGGAAGGTAACAAAGTGTTACGATGTTAGAAATGTGTCATAAAAGTCTGAGTAAGGTAACAATGTGTTACAATTTGATGAAGGTTGTGTGAAGTTAATGATATGCTATTGCATTGTGGAGGGGTGAGGGATGTGAAGTTGTCGACACTTTTTTACAGAGAAATCCTGAGAAATATAGATTGTTGAGTTTCAATTATGCCAAATTTTGAAATATCTCTGATTTATGTGTGATTGATGTTGTTTGTTTATTTTCTTTGTTATAATAGAATCTATTATCATTATTACTATTATTTACACTCTCAAATATTATTTATTTTGTTTGTTTCTTCTTTTAGCAATCTGTAAGGATAGTCTCCCTTTGTACTCACCTCTCTAGAAGTGTTCGACTACGCAAATCTCAAAGCCTTGACACAAATCTATCTGAGAGTAAAGATGTTATAGAAGGAGAGGTAAGTGTCACTTTCTTTTTTCCTTTTTATTTCTGAAAACTTGAAAACTTGCTTCTTTTTGACTGCAAAAAAATATTCAAAATCTTAATCATCCATTTTAGATTAAGAATTGATTACCACTATTAGTTAGTGAAAATATTTCGACATATAAAAGCCAATATTTCAATGCCTTGTCAGTAATGTTGTTAGAATTACTTCCCTTTAATCATGTTACACATTTTGTACCTGTGGAAGCTCTGCATGACTTGTCGCTGTTTGAATCAAACTGCATGTCTCACTTTTTAATTATCTAAACTTGATAAGGAATGCATGTCTGCTACAAAACCAAAGACAACTGTAAACATAACCTTCCTGCAAGTGCTTGCTCTTACAGGAGTTCCGTAATTATTACAGTTGAACAATGTAGAGTGATTGGACCAAAGTGTCAGTGTTAATCATGTTTCTCTGTTTATTTCATGCATTAGTATATTTTAACAATGCAGCCTAATGGGATAAAGAAATATCTAGTTTTACCAATGTTCACTCTCAGATGTAACAAAGTATTGATAAAAACAAGGAACAAAATTGTATGGCAAAATGACTTTCTGTAGAAATACAAAAAAACAAATAAATTGGGAAATTGAACAATGCTTATGCCCATTGACTCTACATATTAACATGAGGTACTAAGTTGGAGCGGATCATTTCCTGCTGAGGAGGAGTTTGAGAAACAATTAATATATTTTAATTAAGTTTTAGACTATTGAGTCTCGAATTTAGTACAATAGGTATTAAAAGGGGAAAAAATATCACTGCAGGTCTGTTTCACTCATTCATAAAGAAGACAAAAAACCTATTTTGATATTTTGTTTATCATTTTCAGTCCATAATTATTAAAGAAGAATCAAAATTTCAGACTTGAATATAAATGTAGCTGCTGCATGTTCATCAATTTAAGATATCTCTTAGAGCTTCCTTCACCAGTTCGTAAAGAAGCAAAAGCCTTATTTTATCACAAAGTGGTCAGTTTTGCATAGTTATACTGTAACGGTACTTAAGTAGTGCTTTATTGCTTAGTGAAGGTAACCTAACATCACCTGTTAATGTATTGGTCTCACTGATGTAGTTCATAGGTCAGTTTCATTGAAGTATTTTTTTGTGTCTAGTTTAACGGTTAGGTCATTGATGTGGTCTAATATGTCTTGTTGGGTTTAGTTCATTGGGTAAGTTTATTCATGTAGCTTCATGTGTTTAGTTCACTGTATCTAGATTAAATTTACGTAGTTTTTGGTAATGGTTCAATACCTAGACTAAAGCTTATTAAAAGTACTAAAGTTTCATGGTACTATGTGAATATGAATTTAAAATGAAGATATTTTATCACTAAAAAGTTCCAAGCTTGATCAGTTTAGTATGGTGATGATGATAAAGTTACAGACTAATGTATCTACCAATGTCCTGTAGGTAACTCAAGCGGATACCAAACAGCATGCCACTAAGGACGACTTGGAACTCAGTAAACACGCTGATAACTGATCTCCAAACTTAATCAGGATCTCGTGTTTTATTAACTCTAATATATGTCCGATGTTCCTGTGTTAATCAGTCTAATACCAGTCTAAATAGATTGACAATGTCTGTATTTTGTGTTGTTAAATCTAATATATTGACAGTGACATTGTAGGCTTTGACTAATGGTGATATTTGAAGTATGCTTTATTACCTGCACAACCCAGAGTTAATATCAATTTTGAACATCCTTTTGCTTAATAAGCTTGTAACATTTACACACATGCATGATGAGTATATACTACTTTGCACTCAACTTAAAGTATCTGATATTTAACCATTGCATTTGCTACATCACCAACTCTTAAATCAGGACGAAAACTGTCTCGTTGTAGCCAGATAATGATAACTAAATGGTTTGCACGCAGAAATATTTACCCTCCTGTCATACACAAGTGGTAATGATTTGACTTGAAGTATGTCTTTTATAGATGCCTCCGTTAACAAGGGTAGTTATTTCCCCTTGTTTTGCTTCACATTTATTTCCCCATATACTTACAGTACTGCCTGGGTCGTTACTCAGGGAGGCCTGCAATATAAAGAGTACAATCAATAAGGTTACACTAAATCTGGGCAGACAGATGTGCTCAGATTCTGTTACATCCCATTCCTTAGTCTCGTTTCCAAGTCAGATTGTTGTGTGATATTGTAGTATTTTTATCTGATTTGTAAAAATGAAGTTGCAGTACTGTTTATACACTAAGGAGATCTCTCAAAAAATTGCAACACACTAAAATGCTGTCAGCTACCAAGATGCTTGTGTATGATGGCACCTTTGTAATACCTGTGTCAGGGTACATATGTGTTTCACTATACTTACAATACCTGTGTCAGGGTAGGTATGTGTGTCATTATACTTACAATACCTGTGTCAGTGTACATATATGTGGCACAATACTTATATCATACTTGTGTCAGGGGTACATTTGTGTGGCACTAATGTTATATAGTACCTGTATTCAGGGTACATATGTTTGGCACTACACTTACATGATACCTGTGTCAGGGTACAGATGTGTGACACAGTACATGTACCTGTTTTTGCTTTCTGCCTTAGTCAAGAATACATGTGTATGGGATTATAACTACACCACACATGCATCCAGGATACATATGTGTGTGGCTTCACTCTAACACACTCTCAGTCTCCAACTTGGATGCATGTGTACAGCACCACATGCCATACTACTCATATGTTGGTGGTACCAGGTGCAACCTGTTTGCATAAATCACAATAAACTGCATAAATTAGTATGAATATTTCTACAGAATATTGAGTCATAACTATATAAAAATTATTTGTTATGCAAAATCTAGCTGGTCATCATCTGAAATCAGTGATTGTAGATATATATACAGCCATATATGTACAGCTATGTACAGGTATGCTAGATCGTTTCACTGCATTGATTTTTTTCCTGCCCTTAAAATATTAAATCTAATATAATCAATATCAGATGACATGTATACACAGAGGAGTAATGAAAAAAATAAAAATTTTGATTTATCTTAAAACATTCTGAAAATTGACACGTTTGTTAGACTTACAGCTGACTACAGTAAACCTCTGGTCAGTTCAAATAGGTGGGTAGTTCAATCACATTATTTTTCAACAAAAATAATAATTTTCTGTCTAGTGATGGTTCAACCCCCTTTTAATCTGTTTCACTTAAAATCTGAACTGTTTAAACATAGTGTGAGAGAGCACATACAACTATTGATAAAGATATTGCATTCGCAATAATCGCTCCTGTGGTCACTATCCACAATGATGTGAAACGCTATGGGTAGCAGGCTGTAAAAGACCATCATAAGCAATTAATAACTCCAAATCATACGTATACATGTCACTTAATTAGCATTCATTTTGTGTGATCCCTTTTACATCTTGCTGTGACATTGTGTTCGTGCCAGCTGAGACAACTTGTGGCCCTAACTCTGTATTACAACTGATAGGTACATATGGACCATGTAGCGTCAACATGTGCGTTGTCAAAAAGCAACAGTGTTTCGCTTCATATTTTAATAAGAAATTCACTTTCCATATTAAATGGGGGGAAAATGACTATCAATATTTCATATGCCAAATAAATAATTGTAGGAGTCGTATGTCCATTAAAAAACATAAGTTTAAATCCACATTCCACATACTGACATGTCAATGCCAACCTTCGCCAATACATAAGGAGACATGTTTTTTTCTGGCTGCATGTAACATGGCTTCCTCGTATTGATATCCAATGTGACGAAGAAGAAGATAAAACCTGTGATTTCTTATCAGTCAGTTAACATGTATTGCAGTACGTTTTATAATCTACGTTTTTTTCTCCTTACCGACCGCTAGTTTCACACCATTCTAGAACACATTAAACATTAAGGCATTATTCTGGGTAGTGTCAAGTTCAAAATCTAATAAAATTTCACAAACATAATTTTATAAAATTCAAACAGGTTCAACAATATTTTGATTTTGTTCAAACTGACCAAAGCTTTACAATATCTCGAAATGTAATGTAAATTTCTCGTATCCATGTGCCACGGCTGTACTATGGAGTTACAGTTTCATACTGATGTAGTATCTACTTATTAGTAAAGGCTTGCTACCAGTTACTAATAAATTTCAGCAAATAGTCAGAACTCAAAATGTTTATTTCAATACCAAAATGGTAATTTGTCATAGACTAAATTTGCATTGCTTGATGCTAAATTATCTGCCCTTAGCCAACCCTCACTTAGCTGCTCACTGACTAAGCTTAAGTTATTGCTGTAACTTTATATAACAACAAACATGATCAAGATGAACATACTATGTGATATTTAATTTTCTACACTCAAATTATGAGAATTACTATCACTCAGGTTTGCAAATAGTAACTTGGGCATGGTTAAGGTATGGACTATGGTGTGGGATTGTACAAATGCAATTTGGTAAACCTTAATTTCAGCAACAAATAAAACACAAACAGTTAACTTTAAAACTTTTTTTTGCTGATTGGCAAATATGTAATTCTAACTGCTGGCTTAATGCCAAAAACAATACGCTGATGATGTGCTGATGATGTGCTAAATAAATGCTGATAATAAATGCTGGGATGCTTCGGGAGTATGGTGTAGACTGCTACATGGTATTAGCTAGAGTTTGTGGTTGGTCTGCACAGTGGACATGCTTGACGTCTCAAAATTTATCAGACAAGGTGTTTGTGATGTGAGTTGAAAAACAAGGAGATTTTTTTTGGTGATACATGACTTTAAAATGAAGTGGTTGGAAGTTAATGGGACACTGATGGAGCATCACAACCATTGTTACTGATGTACAGGATCAAGACTTTCATCATGTGCTCCTACAGTACAATATAATCACTGTGTTTGTGTTTTCTTTTCTCACATAGAAAGTGCAAATATTGTACTGTGTTTATTTAGGTCTTTGTCTTTATCAGTTTGTGTATGTAAAA